TTCTGTCCTTCATCGATTTGTTTGTTTGTTAATTCGTTCCTTCATTCGTTTGTTCCTTTATTCGTTCACTCATTCATTCTTTGCTTCATTTTTTTGTTCCTTCCTTTATTTGGTTCTTCATTCATTCATTCATTCTTTCATGCATTCATTCCTTCGTTCCTTAGTTTGTTCAGTCCTTCCTTAAAACTTTCCTTCATTCAGTTGGTCCTTTCTTCCTTGATTAGTTCAGTCTTTCCATTCCTTGTTCGGACCTTCCTTCCTTCTGCCCTTCTTTCCATTCTTCATTCGTTCCATTTAGTCATCGTTTAAGGTTGTTTGGTGGGTTCAGTCATCATACAGTCGACATACTTCATTTTCTCATCAGCGACATGCAGTCTATAATTAGAGTAGAAGTATAAAATACTAAGTAAGTATAGTAAAAAATAACCCTTTTAAAAGTATTTAAGAGTATAAGAGTAGTGAGTATTACACTGTGAAAACTTGATGCGTTTACATGCAGTTTGTGCAGGGATCTGTAAACGTAACATTCTGTAGTGCATTTAGTGCCTATTTGCCTTCTTATATTCGTTTGTTCCATCCTTCCTTCCATTAATTGTTTGTTCTGTGCTTCATTCATTCGTTTGTTTGTTAATTTGTTCCTTCATTCATTCACTCATTTATTCTTTCCTTCATTCTTTTGTTCCTTTCTTTATTTGGTTCTTTCTTCATTTATTAATTCATTGAAAAGTTCATGTGTTTAAGTGCAGTTTGTGCAGGGATGTGTAAACATTACATTTTGTAGTGCATTTTGCATTTAGTGCATCTTTCTATATTTGTTTGTTCATTCGTTTCTTTATTCATTTGTTCCCTCATTCTTTTGTTCCTTTCTTCATTTGGTTCTTTGTTCAGTTATTCATTCATTCATTCATTCATTCATTCGTTCCTTAGTTCGTTCAGTCCTTCCTTGAATTTAGTCGGTCTTTCCTTCCTTCATTATTTCAGTCCTTCCATCCCTTGCTTGGCCCTTCCTTTCTTCTGCCCTTCTTTCCATTTTTCATTCGTTCCATTTGGGGATTGTTTAAAGGGCCATGAAACCCCCTGTTTCAGCAGGGTGTTTTCACACCTCTAGTTTGGAAAAAGTCAGGAAAGTGGGTGTGTCTATCTTCATTTAGGTGGGAGTGTCGGGGGAGGGAAAAACAGAAGGATTTGGATAAAAATGGGAGTTTCCATTTAGGCACGTGCTGATTTTCAGAGGAGAAAAACAGTGACTGTGTTTAATGACTGACTGTGGAATGTTTGATACCGCACATCGTTTAAGAAAAAAAACTCCACATTTCTCTGTAACTTAGATGCACTCAGTAGGTACCGTCAGAAAGCCGTGTGAGTATAGACAATTCTGCAGCAGAAATGTAGTCCACACATGAGTCCAGCTGCACTCTCATTGTTGGAAAAAGAAAGCAAAACCTTCAACCTAAATGTGTTGCAGCACATTTAAAAATGCAACACTGTCGACCAGTGTCTCCAAACAGTTCTTGTTTTTCCTTCACTTGTTTCGGCAACACAACGTGGCGTCTCTGCCGTCTGAACACTGTATCATGTAAAAAATGTCTTCGAAGCTATCATGCAAATTAATGAAGTTGCACAATATAGCGCGCTGATTGGTTTGAACCAAGTCGTACTCATGAATAAATCCAGCATGCTCAGAGAGGTCACGATGTAGCCAGTCTACACGGTGGAATACGCAAGGTTCTAATCACCGTCACGCAGCTTTATAAATTTGTTTCAAACCGGAAGAACGAATTTGCTCGAAATAACGCAAAAACAACCAGTTTTCACTTTTGTTGTGAAATATCGGTGTCCTAATAGTGTTTTTAGCAGCATGGGACACAGGTGCGACTGTCAACAGCTCAAAAAATGTGTTTTGGTGTTTCGTGACCCTTAAAGGCTGTTTGATGGTTTCAGTCATCTTATAGTCAAAATCCTTCATTTTCTCCTCAGTGACATGCAGTCTTTAAACTTGGGTCATTGTGTGTTAAGATTTTGGATATTTTCTTGGACATTTTAAGGCTTTCAAAGGGTTTGCTGCATTTAAAAAAGTGCATGTTTATTGAGGTTGTTCAGTATGATGCAATTTGATTACATAAAATCAAATTGAATTTATTTTTTTTCTGCTTTAGCCAATAACCATGAAACAAGAAAGAAATAAAGTGATTAGGTTGAAGGAAAGAAGTGGAGTAAAAGTACCGATACAGTACTAAAAATGTACTCAAGGGAAAGTAAAAGTACTTATTTTTAAAACTAATTAGCAAAGTACAATTCCTGAAAACTCAATTACAGTAATTGGAGTATATGAACATGTTACTTTACACCACTGGTTATATACAGCACAACCCAAAGATTATCTTAGAGGAAAGAACTGCCATAAATACATTTTATGCATTTTTGTGAATGGCCAAACTCGAAAATAAGATTATTTTAAAATAAAAACAAAAAGAAATGAAAATAACTTTGAAAGTGCCATGTGTAGTTTGTTTTATTGGCGTTCATAAAAGTCAAATAAAATAAATTACTTTCACAACCAATTATCTGTGAGTTTTTCTGAACGTTATGTTAGGCTCTTGAATTTATTTAACGAATACGTTTGCATTACCGTCACGCTTTTCTGCCAGAAACTGTCTGTATAGTTTAAACCGAAGACCTCCTATTTAATCTGATGACGGGTCGTTGAAATCACTGAGGAAAACAACACAATCCACATTCAATAAAGCACAGCATCCATATCCTCGTTTAGTCATTGAGACCAGCTAGCGGTCTCTCTTTATTTCACACTCACACACACACACACACAGCTAATACATGGTGACTCCATTTGACCGGTGGTCGGTGCGAGGCTCCGTTTATTGTGATACAGTGGAGTTATTGAGGAGTGGGCCCCATTAGGAGCAACAGCCGAGCCACTGCGCCGGGCAATTACCGAGCAAGCGAGGCCCCACCGCAGCCCCGGGCCTCCCGCGGGATCTGCCACCTCGGGCCGTTAATCAATCCGATTTAGACTGGACAGGGACACGTGCCAACACGAGACGCGCAGTGGAGAGACGCGCGTGACCTGCATTTTATTACGATTCCAGCGGAAAAAAAAGATGGATAGACGGTGCAAGGAAAGAACAGATACGGGGGAAGAGGTGGTGGGGGGAAAAAGATGAGGGGAAGACAGGGATAATTAATGTGTGGATGTGAGAAGAATTAAGCATAACTCAAGAAAATGTCGATCAATTGGAGACGCGACTGAAATACATTGGGAAATGTAGAAAGTGTGTTATGGGTGATTAAAAAAGATACTTTTAATTGATATTTTATAATATCAGACTTATTAAACTCATTCATTATGCATGGACCAATACAGAGATCATACATTAATTAACAGTTCATTTAAATTAAAGCCTTTCCTTGAAGACATTTATAGGCGTTTATTAACGCAGATGTGTGGTTTTATTTCTGATGTTTCAAAAATAATTACATGTTATTGCTTTTTTACGCAACCTTTTTTTTATTCTGTAGTTTACCCAATTTTTGGGTAAAATACAATCCCTAAAGTTTTCAAATTTAATTTGGTTGAGTACGTTGAAACAATCCAGCAAATTTTAAAAATGTTTTTAGGCTCTGTTCTAGTTTTTTATAAAGAGCTTTACTGACATGAAATAAAAATCAGAAATTAAATATTAGAATAAATTTGGAATATGTGCATATTTCGTTTTAGTTCAACAGTTTAACAAATTTGTGTTTTGTCTGTATAAATCTTGCTGATAAATTACACACCACACACAAGCAACACCGAGATCAATAAGCTTTATTCCCTTGGAGTTTGGCTCTGTCTTGGTCTTTCATTCTCTCTGTCTGTCCTGTATATCCCTCAGCATACTTATGTTGGAGATGAGAATCCATAAGGCAAAACGACTGATTGTTAATGTTTATGGGAAAAACAGCACCTTGTTTCCATGAGATTCAATGATTTAACTGTATACTGGCATTATGAAGATCCAGATATAAAGCCAGATCAGTCTTAAAAATAATACATTTACAAAGCATGATTCATACATCCACAACACAATTCACATTAACAAAATCCAATTAAAAACACGGTTCATATGTATACAAATCCAATTCGTGAATTCAAAACATGATTCAGAAATACACAAATCCAATTTCAAAATTAAAAACATGATTCAAAGATATACAAATCCAGTTTGTAAATTCAAATCACGATTCAAAAATATACTAATCCAATTTGTTAATTCAAAACGCGATTAAAAATTACACAAATCCTATTTGTGAATTCAAAATGCAATTCAAAAAGACACAAATCCAATTTTTGTGTATTCACAAAAATACACAAATCCTATTTGTGAATTCAAAACGCAATTCAAAAATACACAAGTTCAACTCGTAAATTCAAAACACGATTAAAAAATACAAAAATCCAAGTCGTAATTCAAAACGCGATTCAAAAATAGACAAATCCGATTTGTGAATTAAAATCATGATTCAAAAATACACAAATCCAATTCGTAAATTCAAATGACGATTCGAAAATACACAAATTCAAGTTGTGAATTCAACACGCGATTCAAAAATGCACAAATCCAATTGGTAAATTTAAAACACGATTCAAAATTACACAAATCTAATTTATTTGTCAAAAACATTTATTTTTACTTTCTAATCATGTGTTGTATTTATGGATTGTGTTTACAAATTAAATTGTGCTGTGCATGTATGAATTTCATTTTGTAAATGTATTATTTTTGAGACCGATCTGGCTCCATAACAGACTGTTTTGATATTGAAATGAATTCAAATTTGATTGCAAAAGCATCTTAAAAGTATAAATGCATTCCATGTCTGAGCATGTATTTCAAATGCATTTATCAGCTTGTAATTCACTGAATGCTTCTCTTTCCCTTGATGATTAAACTCTTTTACAACATTACACACCATTGTGTTTCTCTTTTCTCCTCTCTCAGGTGAGGGCCAGTGCGATCGCTCAGGACGCAGATCAGAATTATGACTACGCCTCTAACAGTGTGATCCTGCATTTAGATGTGGGGGATGAGGTCTGTGTGCAGCTCGATGGAGGAAAAGTGCACGGTGGAAACACCAACAAATACAGCACATTCAGCGGCTTTCTCATCTACCCCGACTAGCATACTGTACAAAAACACAGATACATGATCACTTATTTAATGCCAGTGAAAAAGCAACATATACTAGTGAAACAACATGATATAACATCAAGAGTCATTTTAATTTTCCTTAGAGTATACTTTCAGATTTTAAAGTCAACAACACTTGATGCATTTGGCTTTATTATTTGATGCAATTCCAGTTTTTTTTTCAAAGTAAAGATACTTGATTGTATTCATTGGCAGTTGGATTGATTTGTAAAAACAAAGTTGTCTCAGGGGCATCTAAATTTTATCTAGTTCAATTCAAAACATCTGTTTTACGTTTATATGAATTTCAGATGGAGAAAAAAGCTAAAAATGAATTAAGATAACAGACATTCATATGTATTCTCTGAAAACAAATCTTACTGATTAATTGATTAATTTGTTAACATTAATTAATTACAGATGCTCTAAGCAAAACACACTTGCAGCCAATCAGCAGTGAGGGGTGTGTTTAATGATAATAAAGATACAAAGAAGCATTGGGTTGATTGGGCTATGGGCTCAAGTAATGTTTTGTTGCTTTCAGATATAAACATAATTTGGCAAAATGGTTTTATAACAATGAACAATTTTACTGCATTCAATAATCATACTCGATGTTGATATCAACCATTTCAAAGACATTTTAACTGAATTTAATGTTACATCATATGTGTGTTACCTTTATTAACACACATAGAAGAAAATGCTGCAAAATTGTTGCTAACCCTGGGTTATTTCAACCCAATTTTGGGTGTAATAGAGACTAACCCAACCGCTGGATTAAATATTTTAATTAAGTTACCTTAATTCAACATTGGATTAATCCACGTTTTAGCCAAATTCAGTTAAAATACCCAGCAGTTTTTATTTTAATCGCTAGTTTATGTTAAAGCATGTTAACAAATTAGACCTTGTGCCCTTAATTACTTATTACTTAATTAATGACATTATGTAAAGATTACTTACAAAATCTAATTTCGGCAAAGCAAGTTACACTGTAAAAAAAACACAATTCCTTCATGTTGTCCCAACACAGATTGATTAAGTTAACTTTAAGTGGATTGAACATAAAACAATTAAGTTTTCCCCTAAAAAATTAAGAATTGTGCTCTTTGAATTAATTTTAAATAAGTAGTTTGAACAAGCAGCTTTTTTGAGTGTGTTATATTTTGATTTGAAGATTACAAATATGTTATTTCTTTGAAATAATTTGCACTAAAGTTATTACATTAGCACTATGGATATTCATTAAAGGGCACCTATGATATACATCATCTTTTGTAAGCTGTTTGGACAGAACAGTGTATAGGTAGTGTGTCCACAGTCATATTGGGGTGATATAAAGACAATAAGTCTCTTTTTTAAAATTTCCTGACGTTAGAATAAGATCCAAATCCCTCCTATTTTGAGGCCCACCACAACTTCACATAGGAGTGCGGTTTCCCCGCCCACCTAATTGACTGACAGTCCGGTATTAACATGTCTTCTCAGTAACGTGTATAATCATATCAACAAGCCAGGATGTGTGCAAAGCAACTCAGATTAAAGATCTGCTCAGTTCTCTGTGATCATCAATCATCATCAAATGTGATTAAGAATGAGTTTTACAAGTTTAAAATGTTTTTAAAACAGTGATTTTACCGACTTTATCCCCACAGCTGCATTTCAGTACAATTTTAAAAGAAGACGCTTCAATCCTGGTTTGTGGACGTTAAATCAGGTTTATTTTGTACATTAACATAACATATATCTATACAGCAGTGGATATTAACGTGTATTCTGTCACAAAACAGTGCAAAGTTAAGCAAAGTCGCAGAAGGGATTGAATTAACTCCACAACAAATACATCAAATAATCATTGGGACAGTTCTTACTGTAGTATTTCCCACTACGTTACGTGAGATCTGCTTCTTTCATGTCTGTCACTGTGCTGTTTATCATGGGCGGGTAGAACTAGCATAAAAGGTACAGGCAATAAAAGCAGCTTCAATGTGTTCAGAGCATAAAATTCCAATATTCTGAAAGATATAATAAGTAATCTAATGGGTGTTTTGAGCTAAAACTTTACAGACACATTCTGAAAACACAAAAGACTTAATTTAAATCTTAGAAAAGGGGTAAAATAGGTGCCCTTTGAGAAATGAAACAACTTAATCAGCTAGGATTACATATAAATTCAATTCTTGACACTAAGTACTGCTAACACCCCTGTAATGGTGTATTTATACATTTTAAGGCATTTACTTGAGCAAAACTTGAGGTGGTAAACACTTTTTTTTTTAAGTTGATATTTTTATTACATAAAAAATTG